GTCCTGAGTTTGATCCCTGGTGCTGGGGGAAAAAAAAAAGTGGCCATTTGATAATGCAGGTTCCATATGGTTGGAGCTTGGCATTCAGCAGCACTTCAGCAAGTGTGCAGGAAAATGTTTGGAAGATTGGCAGGTGGCACCTCTTCTTGGGACTGCCAGAAAGGCCATCCTGTAGCTGAACTGAATTCTGTTAGTACTGTTAGCTGGCATGTCTTCCCACAAACACGCGGAGTCAGCAGCTATGCAGGCCTTCCTTCTGGAGGGGTGGGCAGGTGGGAGCTCATCAGATGTGCCCTTCCCTCCATCTCTTCCCAGCCTCTGTGTCCAGATGTTTGACTGGTTTGACTACCATGGCCACATGTGTATCTCCTTTGAGCTTCTGGGCCTTAGCACCTTCGATTTCCTCAAAGACAACAACTACCTGCCCTACCCCATCCACCAAGTGCGCCACATGGCCTTCCAGCTGTGCCAGGCCGTCAAGTGTGAGTGGTGTGGGCCAAGGTGAACTCTGGGACAGCCCCTCCCTCCATCGGACCTCTTCTGTCCCAGTTGTGGATTGGTCAAGCCCCTGACCAGTCAACTCAGGATAACTCATCTTCGCAGCTCCTCTTGACTTTGACCTAATTTCTCTAGTCTATGGCCGTTCTACCCTGAGTGCATGTGATCTCATCATCTGGCCAAACTCCTTAATGGAGACCTCTACAATCACTGATTGCCCTTACTCCACACTCAGCCTAGAGGGAGCTGCGAGAGAGCCTTTGAAGTCAAGAGGACTTAATTTTCCCCTTCCTCTTCCTTACAATGGGAAAGCGTTAGATAGCAAGCACAAAGAGACAGGATGGCACGCCATTGGCTAAGGTCACATGTGTCTGAGATGAGCAGCCCTCTGTCACAGCACAGCAGATGGCAGCATGGGGCAGGGCAGTCACAGGGCCAGGCAAGGGTCACAGGAGTTCACAGTTCTGAGGCTTCCCAGCTGGTTGGACAGAAGTAAGTCTGCAGAATGTCAGATACGTCCTGTCAGAGACAGCATAGCCTACCACATGTGGCACTTGTGGTATTAGTTGAGATACATACGTGTCTTGCGTTAGTTAGAGCAGGGCTTAGACTAGGCATTTCATTCAGATATAGAGCAGGAAGCAGCCCTAGTGATTCCGGACTTGCTACGCACCAGCTTCGTGGGTGCTTAGCTGGGGTGAGCTGTGCCATTGAGCTCTGGCCATGCGGACCCAGCCTGACCTGGGCTTCTCCCCTACAGTCCTTCATGATAACAAGTTGACACATACGGACCTCAAGCCTGAAAATATTCTGTTTGTGAATTCAGACTATGAGCTCACCTACAACCTGGAGAAGGTAAGATGGACAGATGTGCCCTTTGGCCATACTGGGCCATTTGCCTTTTCTCTTTCTGTTCTCCAGCATTTTTTCCGTCTGGCTGCAGCTGTGTAGCAGAGTACTAGAATAGGTTGAAAGGTGAAGGTTTAAAAAGACTTCTTAAATTGGACAAGGACTTGAAAAAGGATTTCCAATGGAGCAAAAAAGGCCTTTTTTTTTTTTTTTTTTTTTTTATTTGAGA